CGTTACTTTAATAAGACTTTAATATGACGAGATGATCTTCAAAAATCAACCAATCATAATAAAGCCCGCTATGCTCATCTCAGCAAACTGTGAATTATGATAGTTTCGTTATCCCGCGCGAGGTAATTTTCTAACCGATATTCTTTTATTACAGTATTAAAAAAATTTTCATGATTAAATTTTTGGCCACAACAATTATTAACTATAATAGTTAGTTAGCTATGATTTTGGTTGGCTAGTACGTACGTAATGTTTGTATTCTTTTTTTAAAATAAAAAAAAAAAAATGTATCGATGAATATATGCACGGTCAGACCCACGTGAAATACATACCAAATAAAGATAACATTTGTAAGAAATCTCAAAGAATCGGGTTATTTAAGCAAGAGTCACCCAAAAAATATGAAACATATCCGAGCTTAAGGAGTTCGTTATGTTACAACTATCTGAAAAGTGTTTCAAATAGTCCAAAGCTAGTAATTCACATTTAACTACGTACGTAGTCTGTACGCTTATGTGTTAACGGTTTTTTAAGCCCTACTTCAGTACTTAAAGTAATTGTTTCATATTACATATAATCTATTTTTTAAGTCAACCTTGTGAATATTAGTAATCAAATTGATTTCAATTACACGATCCAATGTTTTTTATTAACAAGTTATCTTTATTAGGTGATTACGTTGTGTAACATTTTTAGGATGGTGCATAACAGTTATAAATAATATGTAATTCAATTTTTTTGTTCTTTATCAGAAAAGATTTTAAAAAATAAAAAAAGTCATGATTTGATCTTTAGATTGAGATCATTTATTATGTATCATTATTATTCTAATCTATTTGTTTTAATAATAATATAATAAAAACATGAATTTACTATTATATATATGTATTACATTCACTTTATATGTTTCGGATAAGATTCATATGTTACATTATCAAGTTCAAATGAACCATTTTCGTATAAATCTTCTAATTGATCATCCAATTTTTGATTAATACCTTTCGCACCTATATAAATGGATTAATTATTAAATCATTCGGTTTAAAAAGAAATTCAAATATTATTTTAAAAACTTTAAAAAAAAAAAGTACCATCAGTCACTTGTTTAGACCATATAAAGTACGCTATTACATATAAAAGAAAGAAAAATCATATAAACACTAAAAACAGTAAAAAGGAATGGATAATTACTGCTAACCTTGTACACGATCTTTTGTCCAATTTACAGGTACACAACGTTGCATATCTCTTAAATTATAGAGCTTATCAGCAAGTTTGACTACTTTAGCCTATATTAATACGATGCAGTATAGGTGAATATTCTTATCTTAAAACTTTATATAAAGTAGTGAAAGTTTTTTTTTACCTTAACTGATATATGTGGAGTATGAACAATTTGTAACCTCTTTCTCTCCTCTGTTGGTAACAATTTATCGTCCGTAACTTCTTCTACAATCTTTTTAACTTCACTTCCGAATTTACTTTCTATCTATTTGTAATAAATAGAAATAAGAATTTATGATATAATAAAAAAAGGCAAATTCATACATACTTCTTCAAAAGTTGTATCAGTATCTTCCACTGTATCATGCTTTAATTTATTTAAAGAATAAATTTAAAATTATGTAAAAAAAAACATTTTAAACAAGATATTAAATAATAATTTTTTTCATCATACCAATATAGCAGCTTGTATAGTTGCTAAGTCTGTAATACCAGCGTCTATGAGATTTTGGCCACACCGATTGGGTGATTGATATATGCTTGATAAATAAAGTGAAGAAAAGTTACTTTTTTAGAGGTTTAATAAAATAGAAAACAAGTAAAATAGAACTCAGTACATTCAGACATCCAAGAGATATGTTTCTTGACATCTTAAAATTCGCTTAGAACATTTTACCTAAGCTCTTCTCTTGGATAACTGAGATATTCTGATACACTAAAAATCACGTAAGGTAACTTACGCGTTCTTTCTCGATCTTTACGTCTCTGCTGAGAATGTTTTTTCGCAGCAAAATCAAGTGTATCAATTAGTATAGATAAATCGAGAGAAGTATGAAGAGCTTCCAACATTTTTTTTCTTACATTACGATTAAGGTGATTGATCGATCATTTTATAGCAAAATAGGGTGACACGGAATTTTGAGATGGATCAACCAAAAAAATCCAATACCGCGGAAATACATCTTAAATTAACGACTTTTAATCAAGTAATTTACGTATACATTGTCATTGATGGCAATAATTTAGGAAATTCGGTTCTATAAGAAAATAATTGTAATAATCCTGACGGAATGTTTCAACCTACCAAAAATGAAAATCAAAACAATTAAATAAAGCATTTATAGGCAATGTGTAGCATTAAGTATCGGGGAGGAGCTTTTATATATACAGTCGGATATAATGCATTAATCAACATTGACCTAATCGGAAAATTTCAACATGAATGATCTTAAATGATCTTAGTACTGTAGTAGGTACATATATAACTTATGTAGTACGAATAAATGCATGCAGTTGGTCATAATAATTGAATGTTATTGGACAGAATATTTATAGGAGCCGATCAATACGTAAGAGAGTAAGAGAGTAAGAGAAAGATAACGTTAAAATTTTAATTAACATTGTTAATTTATCAATTAGATATCATTAAACTTTGATCTTTATCTGAATCTTTAACAATTAAACTTATTGAGATTACTCGATATTAAAATTGATCAACATAACGATAAAGTTCATGTAGTTTGATTAGCTATGTTATCAGTTATGCTTACTTCAGTACTTCAGTACTTTGCAATTGAGTGTCTAACATCTATAATACTGTAATACAGTAATAGCATAAACGATATTACAGAAACAATCAAACTAAATTTGATAAAATTTGTTTTATTTTATTCTATAAACATATACGTAGAAATTAAAGTAAAACAATTTCAGCTATTTTAAATGCTAGAAATAGCGTCATTTTGCTTTGCAAACGCCACTCGGTCTAACATGAAACATTTATTGACCAATATTATACTTACAAAAAAAAACTTGATTACTGTATTGGTAAGAAACCTTTGTTACCCGTCATTACTAATTAAATGCGTGGTGCATCACATGTTCGAATTTCTTTTAATTACGTACGTAAGTAATAATATATAAATTATATATTTGTTATTATACGTACTGCTAAATAATAACGATCCTATACCCTGCGAAATCAATACATCAAAAATTCCCGGAAACGTTATCGCACACGATAATGGCCATTTGTTCAATTTGATTTCTTTTTTAGATTCCATTAATTTATGAAAGGCAATCTATCTTTATATCTGCTCTTTAAAAATAACCTAATTTACTTAATAGATTTAGTCTATCTGGATTGTGTTCTATAAATTATAAATTTAACAAATTTCCCTTGATGATACCCATATACTAAATATTCTGCAGGTGCTGTTTAGCCAATTGACATTTTCAATTTATTTTTATTTATCATTATATATTTATTTTTATTATTTTTATTTTTTTTAATTTAAAAATACAGAAAGGTCTCGCACTGACTATATAAGTTCTCTTAAGATGCATGTATGGCTTGGACCCTTTACATATATGGTCCCAATTGAGTGTACTTGGTGTGGTTTTCTGTATTACGTACGTATGTACTATTTAATTAGAAGTATTATTTAAATTTTTCTGATGGTCTTTCTCGTTTGTTCGTGTCTTCCAAGCCTCCACCCATTCTTCAATCCTCGTAACATTACTTTGCATGTCCTCTATATTATTACTTTGTAGCTCAACCACGATTTCTGCCGCATATGACTCCTTTGCTTCTTCTAATATCACTTGAAATATTTCACTATCAATATTTTCCGTGATTTTTTTTTGTGAATAACCTCTAATTATGTTAATAAATATAATTTATTCTAGTCAAATAATTTTGATTTCATTAAAAGTTTGTATAATCTGTATCTAAATTAACTTACCTATCTTTTAATCTATCATACAATATCGTATTATCAGTTCTTAATACTAGAACTAAATCAAACCAACGTTCGGGAAATACTTCACATGAATGAAAATCCACTATATTTCCTCCATTTGATAATGTTTCTTCTAATTCATCTACAAGCTAATAATAATCTCATTCGGGTTTTTATTCTATAAAAATATTTCTTTTTTTTCTACTTCAACTTCTAATTTTATATTACCTTATCATCATCTAAAATCCAGCTTTGAAAGTCTTGATCATAACCATGATGTAATGATTTTTCTTTAACTAATTCTCCTACAATTATGTTATGTAAACCCGTTGATTCCGACGCTAGCTGGCTTAGAGTAGTTTTGCCAGTTCCTGGAGTACCAGTTATAAGAATGTTTGGTGTTTGGCTAAGAAAATTCGCATAATTATAAATAATTATATAGTTACATAATTAATTAATTGATTGATCAAAATTTTTATATAATACCGCTCTGTATATGCTTCCTGTATTTTCTGTTCTGGATCTAAAGAATTATTCATCTTAAATTTCGTTGATGCACACATCCCTGACAAAAAAAAAATCCACTTTCACGTGATTGTGCATGCGTATTAGCTATGATACAGTATAATGCGAACAAGAAAATGGTATTAGCACAATTGATAAAGATAAAAAATAATAACTGAATTTTTTGTTGTTATTTTGCTTTTTAAAATAAAAAAATTAATAACTTGTAATCATTAACAACGATAAAGCATTAATAACGATAAAGAACGTGTCATTATAAACTTTTTGAATTATTTAAAAAAAATTGATATGCTGAAGTAAAACAGGCTGTTAATTATTATGATTTCACCTACCTGTTATGAATTAAAACCTGTCACATATTCTCTTATTTCAAATCCTTCATAAATATATATATATATATATATATATATATATTTTAAAGAAAAAGGTATTTAAAACTGCTCAACAACAGCAAAGGCCTTTGCTAATTTTTTTAAGATTAATTTCATCACGGCATACGCTAATTCATTTAAATAAAGTAGTTTTTCGTTTGAATTAATGAGACACATGATTCTGTAATTTGATTGGTGCAATTATCAGTTATCAGAATTGAATCGAATCGCAAGACTATTTAAGTGATAGAGTTCATTATTATTATATCATTTAATGCTGAATTTTAAATAAATTCGGAACACAATAACATTATTCTATTATTTGTTGTTATTTGGACATATAAAACTACGGATTAAACCAATTTGACTTAAGGCTGGACTTAAGACTAAGTATTAGATTATCTGTTCTTTGTGTTTAAGATACTCTTAATTCATCAATCGGCCTATAAGAAGTTCTAAAACGAGGTTGTGGTTATATGATTTTTTTTAATGTTTATTAGATAAAATGTATCAAAAACAATTGCATAATAAAATGAGAGATTATACCATATAACTTAATTCAAATTAGTTTGATTATAAAAATGATAACGTGGAAAACTTGGAAAATAATCCAATTATGCGAAATGATGTTAAAAAATATGCGACCACTTTGTGTGATCAAAATTCTGAAATACGGGTTAATTTACTGTTACTTCAGTACTTGAGTATTTAAAATAAACCAAAAAATCGATCTAAAATTTCAACTCTACATTCATCAATAAAAAAATTTCTTTTATATATAGTATATTATTTATTTTTTACAATGTAAATATCAAGAAAGTTCTTGGCCGTTTTACTTAACAATAAGGTGCATTTCATACAATTTTTTTTCCCACTGTGAGGTGTTTTTTTTTTTTTAAAATGTTTGTCTTTCGTAAACATGGCTTTATTTTTTTCACTTTTATATATAAATAAGGGTTTTAATTGTTGTTGTCAGACTTAAATAGAAGAAGTTTGAAAGAAGAGAGAGGTGGTCATAATGAATAGTAGGTGCCATCTGTTGAGATCTGGGTCATATCCAATTGCAGGAGGGGTTTGGAAAGAGGAGAATCCTACTATAGCAGGTCAAATATAGGTACAAGTTGGTAACCGAGTTAGTCTTAACTTGTAATTTAAGTAACAATTTGGTCTACGGTGCTTGTTATTTAGAGATAGTTCTCATACACTATCTGCTAACAAGTTTAGAGTTTATCACTTACCTTCTGAAATGTTTGGTTGTAAAATTTTACATATTCTAGATGAGTTATACAAAGCCTAATAAAGTTAAGACATGGCTGCTGAATTTTTTTTTTAAAAAAAATAAACTATTAGATTTTTATAGTGAAAATAAGTTTGTTAGATTAATATTTGACAGATTATTGAATAGAAACGATTTTTGAAAGTTTAATAGGTTTAATTTATTTTTAATATAATTAATTTTTTTTATTTTTTTTTGATTATTCAATAACAAATTAATTAATAGGTGTTCTTAAGTACCTTACTCAATAGATTAGAGACAAAATTTTAATAGTCAAAAATTGAATAAATTAACCAAGACAGTCTATTTTTTTCTTTAAAAATTTACTATTAATGAAGGTTGCTTAAGTATTAGTTTATATCTTTATATAATAAACAATAAATTCTCAACAAATTTTTAATTGATCTAAAAAAAAAAATAGCTATTTTATTTTTAATGCTTGATAATCAATACCTTTATATGAATGTAATAATACAACTATCTTTTAATCTTTAATCAAAATATAATAAGCACTACAGTTTTTCATTCATCTAAGTTAAAATTTTTAGCAAAATTTTGTATAGATGTTTTTTATACTAATAAATAATGAAGGGTTGGCTTTTTTTGAAAATATTATCTATGCTACTTTTGGTGTAAATATGAAATAGAATTACTATAAATTGCCTACAAAAAAAAAGCTATTCTTGTTTTACAAAGTAATTTTTGCTAAGTTGATCCTGTTACTGTTGCGACAAAAATTTAATTAGTAAAATTATTAAAGATGAAGTCAGCAAAACTAAAGTTGAAACTTCAATAGCTAGTTAAATAAAAAATTTTTTAATTAGGTTATATGAAGATATAGCAAATATTATTAAAAATAGAAGAGTATACTTAAGTATTAAATTTTATAAATGATTGTATTGCTTAAGCATTACCATGAATATTATTTAAACAATTGATTAAGATCCTTGAGAATACTATTAAGTATTTAACAACCAGTCAGCGAATAATAAATATATTTGATAACCAACTTTAACCAAAACAATATGAATAAAAAAAATAACAAAGATATTATATTAGAGGTATATATCTGTGAGCTGTAATATATTTTAAAGTACAGTATGTAAACTGCTAGCATGTGCTTTAGTAAAACATAGTGTTGGGACTAGTGATGTGATCTGTTCAAATCTGGATCATCCAGATTACACAAGATCAAATCCTTATTCATATGAATTAATTTGCAATCTGCATATTTATCAGATTTTGAACAGATCGAACGGATGATCTGCAATTCGCAGTTAATATAATAGTGATTTTTTATAGTTTTTTAAAACTATTATTATTAAAGAATGAATTTAAATTTATTATATATTATATAGCATTGTTTAAAAATTTGGAGCTGGTTATTTTTTTTATATTAAACCTGATTAGAACTAGTTTCAAGCTCTAGATTAAACGAATGATTTACAATTTGCAGTTTGAATGAATTGAACAGATGATCGACAATATTGCATAAGGATTGAATGGATAACAGATTTTGAATGGATAATCTGGATTGCAGATCATGGATTATACCTCTAGTTGGAACTATGTTTTAATAATGTATTTGCAGAGCTCTAGTATAAAGTAAACACAGTTATTTGAAAAAATGAATTGATTCAAGAGCTGTATAAAGGTTGTTAAAAGTATTGAAAAAAGTTTTGGGAATAGTTTGAATTATATCTATTTTCAGAGCAAACAGAAGTAAGGCAGAGTAAAGTTAAAATGAAGGTCTCTTCTAAAGTCTAAGATAATTAGTGTTCCTATAAACCTGTTCATAAATATATTCAAAGGTTCAAATAAAGAAAAAAATAAATAATCGCAAAGATAAAAATACTTATATCTTATGATCTACTAAGCCAATTTTAATATTTTAATTGCTATTCTGTTCCCAAGACACTTTTCTACAAATTTATTTAGGTAATAAAAAGAGATTTACTTAATAAAGAAAAATTTTTTTTCTTTGAGAAACTTCAAAGTTGAAAGGTTTCTTTCATAATAAAAGGCTTGAATTTTAACTAAAACATTTTTCTTGGGTTAGGGTCCCATAGTCTAGTAGTTTAAGTGCCTAACTCTCCACAGACAAGGTTGATAGTTCAATTATAGCTGGTGATAATTAATTGAATTAATTATCTCTGTAACCTATGGGGCTTTTGAATGTGAAACCCTGTGGTGGTAAAACTATATAAAGTATATATTTGGCTGATAAAGAATTCTTAGAAGGAGTCTCAAGCTATGAAGAAGATCAGGCACTACGTGTGATATGGGTCACAGAAGATATTACTGCAGAAGGCTGTGCGTATGAATCCACAATTGGCAAGGTAGCACCAACAACCCTAAGGTGGCATTGGGATCTTGATTGGGAGGACAGCTATATGCAGTATATCCAGAAGTAGTGAGAGAAGCAGTGAACATAGTAAAGGGCTGTGGTAAGAGAATAGCTTTACCAAAGATGGAACACTTCTGGTGCAATGAAGAAACAAAGAAAACCGGTTAAAAGAAACCCCGAAAAGCATGAAAGCAAGCACCCTGGTAGTACGAATATAAAGATGGCTAGTGAGTATAGTCGCACAATCTATATGAGAGTCTATGACAAAACACAGCAGAAGTGCAGGTTCTGTGTTACTATTTTGTGGCAGTAATTAAATAAGATTCTTAACTTCCGTTCTAAGGATCTAGACTTCTGTATTACTATACCAATAGGGAGTACTTAAAAAGAGGTAGTAGCCTAATTAAATGGTATACGACATTAATACCTGGACCCATATGAACAGCTCTCCTAATAGCGGCAGCAGGTGGCTTGAGATACAGGTCTTTGGACGGTGGCAGCACCTAGCTTAAAATACGAATTAGGCTCTAAAGTAACATACTCGAAGAATACCAAACTGGAAGCAAGAAGAGCACCCACTTCTAGGACACCAATTTGGAAGTTATTCAAGATACGAATTAGGAGTAATGTAATAAGTAATAAGAGGTAGATTATAACTGGTGGATGTTGTATAGTAGTATATATAGCAGGATGTATATGAATTAAAATAGGTGAATATAGCCTACTGTTAATTCAGAGGAAAACCCTCTAGCAAGTTAGGGGCCAAAGAGAAGGTAAATTTGTGGCTAGACAGTTACACTTGGGCACCTTAGAGCAGCCAAGTGAGCTTTGTTACAGAGTCAGTGGGGTATAGTTTTTAGAAGTTTCTGTACTAATAAAACCTTGTACGTCTCAATAAAAAGAAATACTTAACTACTGAAGATAATAAAGCAGATACAATTTAAAAATAAAAAATAAAAAATAAAACATTTTTCTTTACTAAATAAACCCTTTTTTAAAAGTTGTAGAAGAGTATCTTGCGGTCAAAATGGTGATTAAAACATT